GGCCACATTGCATCGAAAGTAGATTTAAAACGTATTTAGGACGAGTGTAATTTTGGGGATTATGTGAAGTGGCAAAGGTTACATTGTTGTGTTGTGGGTGCTCGTCCGTTTTCAATTACTTTGGCGTTGATTGTGGACGAGGAATGTGGAAAAGGAATACCAAGGATTTTTTAAAGTTGGTTAGAAAATTCTTTAAAAATTTGTGAAATCAACCAATAAATTTAAATAGTTTATGAGAGTCGAACGAAGACAAGCGAAACATTTGGGGGCCACATGAGCGGAGCAGAACATCCTTAAAATTTAATATCCTTGGGATTTAATTCTCTACTCATTGCGAATTCAAAATACAAATTTGAAAACCCATTCAGTAGTAAAATGTGACTAGGCCCTTCAAAATAAAAATATCATTGGACTATTCCGAAACTTGGACGTACCTTTTTTTGTAAGGCTGCGGGTTTTTTATAAATATATTTAAATATCTAATTGCACAGAAAGTGAAGGAGAAATAAGGCTTTTGCCTTCATGACCCTCAAAATCCACCGGACGAACTGTAAAGTGCCTATGTCAAAACTTGAACAGATATTAGCAACTTTTTCTTATCCAAATTTTCATTCCACGAGAACAAAATATGCGTAATTACTACAATTTATTTTGTTATTCGTTAAAAAAATGTCAAGATACTTGTTTAGGCGCACGAAGTTTCTGGCAGCTTCATGGACGATTTGAAAATGTTCCATTTTATGGTGTATTTATGGATTATGGATGGCAAGTGGGTTAGGATAACCATGAAATTGAGTGATCAGGGCCAAATCTACAATCCTTTAAAATATTTTTCAATAAAAATTTTGAACGGAGATTCCGAAATATCCCAATTTTTGGTCAGAAATATTAAACAAATCCACGTCAGAAAAAAAGTTTTCGTGAGAGAATATTCGTGAAGAATGTGATTTTTTTATATTTGGCAGGAAAACCACAAGTGGCTATCGTTAAAGCACTCGCTAGAGCGTATCATCGCTCGTTACCGTGATACTGGTAGCGTAGCCCGACGTCAAGGAAGTGGACGGAAAAAAAATCAACATCAGCAGAAATGGTTCGAAAAGTAAAGAAGCGACTTCATCGAAACCCGCGTCGCAGTGGCCGAAAAATGGCTCGTGAGCTGAACATATCGCAATAATCCCTTCGGCAAATATTGAAAAATGAGCTCGGGGTAAAGCCTTTGAAATTTGAAAAAGTGCAAGAAATTACACCGCAACGGAATGAAAATAGAGCTAAAGCGCTTGATCGAAAGTGGTTAACTGCCGAAATTGGTTTTCTCCGATGAGAAAACATTCGTTGTCCAGCAGTTTGTAAACAAAAAAATGATCGTGTTTACTTGCCAAAGAGGTCAGCTGAAAATGTGCACCTTCGGTTTTGCCACCAGAACTCAAGCGCCAGCCATGGCGATGGTGTGGGCCGCCATAACAGCTGATGGTCGCTCTCCGCACGTATTGATTTGACCGTGGCATCAGAATAAATGCCGAATATTATCGCTAAAATATTCTGGAAGTGTATTAAAGTCTTGGGAACGCAAACATTTTGGTCGCAGATCTTGGACATTCCAACTGTTACAAAATGAGGTTCCTCGCTTCATCTCCAGCGCACAATGGTCATCAAAATCTCCGGATACCAATCCTTTGGACTATTGTGTCTGGAGTATTTTGGAAAGGTTGGCACTAAAAAATACCAAGTAAAATCGGATGAAGATCTATATCGAAGGTATATAAAAATCTGAGCCGATCTCGATCACATTTGGCAGAGGTATTTTCGAGCTGTATCTGATGTGCGGTATGAAATATCATTGTTGTGGAGGGTATATAACACATGTGAGGGTCTTAAACACAAAATCGGATGAAACATATATATGGGAGCTATAGCTATATCTGAATCGATTTTCAAAAAAAAAAATCAGTTCATTTGAACTGATATTAGCCATTTGGTGCACAATAAACCTGTCATCGGATAAAGATATATATGGCAGCAATATCCATATCTGATCCGATCTCTATAAAAATTTGTCAGAGGTGTTTCTGGAATGTATCTGATATCTGGTACCAAATATCATTTTTATGGAGTGAATATTACGAATGTGAGAGACTTCAACACCAAATCGGATGAAAAATATGTACGGGAACCATAGCTATATCTTAACCGATTTTCACCAAATTTGCTTCTAGACTGAATTCGGTTGGATGCGCCAATATTCAGGCCATTTGGACTGACATTGGCCATTTGGTGAGCAATTAATCCGAAATCGGTTGAAGATATATATGGGAGCTATATCTAAATTTGAACCGATACTCACTCATTTCAATAGGGTTCGTCCTTGGGCCAAACAAATGTTACTTAGCAAATTTCATCGGATAATAAATGCGACCTGCATTTTGTTCAAAAAATACATGGACAGACGGACGGACAGACGGACTGCATGCATAAATCGACTCAGAAAGTGATTCTATGAAGATCCTGAAAAGTAACTATGATTCTATCTCGCTTCCTTCTCCATGTTACAAACAAATGCACAAAGACATAATACCCTTACCACTATGTAGTGGTGGTCCCTTTGTAGGTGAGGTACCAGGGTTCGCAGATATATAGCATTTTCACAACAGATCTTGTGTTTGCAAAAATGTTTGTATGTGTGAAATTTGAAGAGAGTTGGATGCTTATTTCGCTTTCTTTCAGCGTTATGTTTTCCAAATTTTTGAAACATGTATGGACAGGTAGCAAAAGAAATGGTCCGATCTCTACAATCTTTATAACAGATCTTGTGTTGATGGAAATATTGAGATGTACCATATCTGGAATGGAATCGGATGTTGATTTCGATTTTTATAAACTTCATGGATATTCGAAATTTTCAGCGTTTGTGGGATTTGCAAAGTTGGAGCAAAATCGAATCATACTTTCTCTTTCTGGGCTAAAAATATATATTTTGAAAATTTCGACCTTTTGTGGGGTACCAGAAGGAGTGGCCCGATATTGTCCCTCACCAGAAGGAGTGGCCCGATATTTCCAGACCTTGGGATCTTAACACCAGATATTGGGATATTTTGAAGACAATCGGACTATTACATCACATTTTATGAGAGTTGTAATTATTCAAAATTTTGACCCTTTGTGGGAAAGGTACTTGAAGGAGTGGACCGATATTGTCCATTTTCGCACTGATGGAAATACTAGGATTTGCGAAGTTGGAGCAAAATCGAATCATACTTTTCTCTTTCTGTGCAAAAAGTTTATATTTTGAAAATTTCGACCTTTTGTGGGGAGGTACCAGAAGGAGTGGACCGATATTGCACATCTTCGAACACGATCTAAGTTTGACAAAAATATTACGATGTACCAAGTTTGGACCAAATCGGATATTCTCTTCGAGAGTTATCGTACGCACCAGCCAGACAGATAGACGGACGGACGGACGGACAGACATTGCTAGATCGACTCCAAATGTTCTGAAACGGATTTGGTCCAAAGAGACCTAGGGTCTAAGACCGTTATTTCGACTAGGCACGTTTTGGCCGTATCAAATAATATATACCCTCTGTAGCCATATGGCTGAGGATATAAATATTTCACGAGCTCCAGAAATGGGTGCCAATGTATTAGTAGCAACCGATAGCAACCCATGTCATTATAATTCTGATCAAGCAAGTTTACTTTTTATAAATGTTATAAAAAAATATATAAAAAATTCACAAACTATTTCAAAAAGTTCTGAACTTTCTAAATTTCAAGATCACTCCAGACTCAAGCAAACATTTTAAGAAATGTTGTTTTTTTATACCCTACATCACAAGGTGGTCAGGGTATTATGTCTATGTGCATTTGTTTGTAACAGGCAGAAGGAAACGAGATAGACCCATAGTTCCTTTTGATGATCTGCATAGAATCACATTCTGAGTCGATTTATGCATGTCCGTCCGTCCGTCCGTCTTTCCGTCTGTTCATGTATTTTTGTAAACAAAGTACAGGTCGCATTTATTGCCCGATCCAGTTGAAATTTTGCACAGATCATTTGTTTGGTACAAGGACGAACCCTATTGAAATTGGAGATAATCGGTCAAAATTTAGATATAGCTCCCATATATATCTTCGTCCGATTCGCCTTTTATTGTGCACCAAACGTGTAATATCAGCCTGAATTGTATGGAATTTTGCACATTCACCCAAATTAGGCCGGAAAATAAGTATGCCAAATGCGATCGAAATCGGTTCAGATATAGCTATAGCTCCCATATATATTGTTCATTCCGATTTGTTATTTTTTTCCTTCGCAGCCGTAATATGCACTCTGCAACAACAATATTTGGGGAAATATATCAAATACAGCTCAGAAATACATTTGCTAAATTTCATCGAGATCGGTCCAGATTTGGATATAGCTCCCATATATAACTTCGTCCGATTTACCTTTGATTGTGCACCAAACGTCTAATATTTGCCCAAATCGGATGAAATTTGGCACTTACGACCGAATTGAGTCTAGAAGATTTGGTGATGATCGGTTCAGATATAGCTATAGCTCCCATATATATTGTTCATCCGATTTGTTATATATGTTACCCACAGCCGTAATATGCACTCCGTTACAACGATATTCAGGGAAATATATCAAATACAGCTCAGAAATATCTTTGCTAAATTTTATCGAGATTGGTTCAGATTTGAATATAGCTCCCATATATATTTTTATCCGATTTTAAAGTATGTGTGCACCAAATGGGCAACACATGTCCGAATTTAAAAGATACAAATGCTTCGGCATATTTAGTCCTTTGAACTTTAAATTATAATTAAAATCATAGCTTTTATGACTGAATTCTCCCATAAAAATTTTAATTGTTATGTGGAGCTCTACTAAATTGGCAAAGTGGTGTAGGGTATCATAAAGTCGGCCCCGCCCGACTTTAAGACTTTCTTTACTGGTTTTAATTTAATATATTTCTTCTTATTTATTTCAGGTGTGCTTAAATATTAAATAATTTCTTATCCTTTCTACGTAAGGTATGTATATCATTAATAAAACAAAATACAATTTTTTAGAAAACCAGAAGTTCGTATTTTTTGAAATGTAGCGTTTGAATTAATCTGATTAAATTAACCTCAAGTCAGTATAAATTATTTTATTCGGAATTAATTTCAATTAAAGATTTTTCCATAAAATCAATTTTTTAATAAAAAATAATTTATAACAGTGTTTCCATAAATAGGTTTAACATAGCAGCCCTTTAAAAAAACAACAACAAAAAACTAATTCCACGAAATTAGAAACTTAAAACAAAATAAAAAAACTCAAAACCGTATATTCTACATATTAAGAAATATTCCAAGTATTCACAAATCTCTTACGGCAATTCAATAACAAAGTCATAGATAGAACGAATAACCTCCACCCTCCCTCTCCTCACAGCCATGACGAACGAAATTCTTCTTTATTCAGCTGTAATTGCTTAGAATGTAGCTTTCCACTATTCCCAGAAATGGATAATATGTGAAAGGAAGTTTCTTCTTTCTCTTCCCTGCTGGTCTCACAACCCCATCCTGCTTGCATGCAAATAGACAAATTTATGTTGTCTGTGCACAAAAATTTTTCAGATAAAGTTTCAACTGATCCCCCGGCAGCAATAGAAGAAATCTGTACTTATCTACCATGCTAAAGGAGATGAAATTGTATGAAAACTCATATTTCATGGCATATTAATGTTGGTAGGGAGTAAACTGAAGAGGTGGTGGGGGGTGGGGGGAACGGAAGATGAGGGACAACATAAACTAATAATATGTAGAGAAATACAATCATAAATCTTCGGCAAGCATAAGACGAAGAAGAGTTGTTTATTTCACAAAAAAGAGAAAACAAATAAAAACCGGTAAAAAAAAGTCCTAAAGTCGGGCGGGGCCGTCTTTATGATACCCTACACCACTTTGCTAATTTTGTAGAGCTCCACATAACAATTAAAAGATTTTATGGGAGAATTTAATCATACACGCTATGATTATAATTATAATTTAAAGTTCAAAGGACTAAATATGCCGAAGAATTTGTATCTTTTAAATTCGGAATTGTATTGCCCATTTGGTGCAAAATTAATTTGAAATCAGATAAAGATATATATGGGAGCTATATCCAAATCTGAACCGATCTCGATAAAATTTGGCAAATATATTTCTGAGCTGTATTTGATATATTTCCCTGAATATCGTTGTTACGGAGTGCATATTACGGCTGTGTGTAACAAATACAACAAATCGGATGAACAATATATATGGGAGCTATAGCTACATCTGAACCGATCTTCACCAAATATGGCATACTAGCTTCTAGACTCAATTCGGTCGCATGTGCCAAATTCCATCCCATTTGGGCAAATATTAGACGTTTGGTGCACAATAAAATATAAATCGGACGAAGTTATATATGGGAGCTATATCCAAATCTGAACCGATCTCGATGAAATTTAGCAAAGGTATTTCTGAGCTACATTTGGTATATTTCCCAAATATTGTTGTTACAGAGTGGATATTACGGCTGCGGAGGACAAAAATAACAAATCGGATGAACAATATATATGGGAGCTATAGCTATATCAGGACCGATTTCGATCAAATTTGGCATACTTATTTTCAGGCCTAATTTGGTTGTATGTGCAAAATTCCATACTATTCAGACTGATATTACACGTTTGGTGCACAATAAAAGACAAATCGGACGAAGATATATATGGAAGCTATATCTAATTTTTTACCGATTATCTCCAATTTCAATAGGGTTCGTCCTTGGCCAAACAAATGTTGTTTGCTAAATTTCATCTCAATCGGATAATAAATGCGACCTGCATTTTGTTCACAAGAATACATGGACAGACGGACGGTCGGACAGACGGACTGACATGCATAAATCAACTCAAAAAATGATTCTATGGAGATCATCAAAAGGAACTATGGGTCTATCTCGTTTCCTTTTGCCTGTTACAAACAAATGCACAAAGACATAATACCCTGACCACCTTGTGGTGTAGGGTATAAAAACATTTAATACCCTCCAACTTAGGGTAAGAGAAACATTAGATTCCATTATGACCAACAAATACCAATTTTTAGTCAAATCCGTGAAAAAAATGTGGCAAAAATCATTAAAATACCGAATATCGGGAGGTACCGTTGTTCTGCTAAATGTTGACGCTCTACATCAACTAATGTGGGCTGTATCGTGATTTCAACAGACGGACAGACAGACAAACCGAGGGACATCGTTAAATCGACTTAGAATTTTATGCTGGTTATGAATATATACTTTATGGGGTCTACGAGGAATATTCCATTTGTAACAGAATGACAAAGTTAATATACCCTCCTTTCCAAGGTGGAGGGTATAAAAACCCCTTCTAGAGATCAGAATTTGTCCAGCATAAGTAGACATGCAGGTAGGCTCTTTTATCTATAGATGAACTGTGGAAGGTCTTCTGTCTATAAAATACCTACCTGTAGTAAAGCTGTAGAAAATGTCCTTTCAGATTTTTAAACAAAATGATTAAAAATTTTGAGGTGTCCTTGAAGTAAAAAAATACTATCAAAGTTCCACGATTAAGGCTAGAAAAAACTTCTTAAAAAATCTTAGATTAGTAAAATAATTATTATTAAAAAATCCTGTTTGGTTCATGCAATATTTAAAGAAAAATCTACTTCTGTCTTTGAAAAAAAAAACCCAAGATCGCACTCTAAAAAATATTCTGAAAAATCCTTTAAAATATTTCTAAAAAGCACGATTGATCCATTAAAAAATTCTACAACTGGCCTAGAAAAACATTCTTAAAAAAATCACAATTGGTTCTTTATAAAAAGTTATTAAAAATTCGCGATTAGTCACTACAAATTATTCTTGAAAATGGTTAAAAATATATTCTGAACAAGTTCATGATTGGTCAATGAAAAAATTACTTGAAAATCCACAAATAGGTCCTTGGAACATATGTCTAAAAATTGCACAGTAGGTCTTTAAAAATTCAGCGATTGGCCCTTGAAAATATTCTTAAAAATTCACGGTTACTCCTTAAACAAACAATGATCAGAAATTCTAGATTGGCCCTTAACTAATATTTTTTAATGCTCCCAATTATTGGTCGGTTGACCCTGTGTTGATAGAAAGGTTGAGATTTGTCAAGTCTGAATGCAATCGGCTTTTAATTTCGCGTTTTATGAGCTTCATTGATATTGAAAATTTTGAGCCTTTGTGGGGGAGGTACTAAAAGGAGTGGACCGATATGTCCCATCTTTACAACATATCTTGTGTTTGTAGAAATAATTGGATTTGTATAATATACCGAGAACCTAAGGCTTATTGCGAATTTTATAAATGTTTTGGTTATTCAAAACTTTGACCCTTTGTGGGGAGGTACCAGAAGCAATGGTCCGATCTCTACCATCTTTATAACAGATCTTGTGTTGATAGGAATATTCAGATGTTCCAAGTCTAAATGGAATCGGATATAAATTTCGCGATTTATGAGCTTAATGTATATTTAAAATCGGATTATCGTTTCTCTTTCTGTGCAAAAACAAAAATAATAAATTTTTGAAAATTTCGACATTTGTGAGGGAGGTACCAGAAGGCGTGGACCGATATATTTCATCTTAACACCAGACCTTGGGTTAATATAAATATTGGGATATCTGAAATTTGAAGGCAATCGGACTCTTATATCACATTTTATGAGAGTTGTAATTATTCAAAATGTTGACCCTTTGTGGGGGAGGTACCAGTAGGAGTGTACCGATATTGTTCATTTTCGCACCATATTGGATTTGCAAAGTTGGAGCAAAATCGGATTATCGTTTATCTTTCTGTGCAAAAAATATATTTTTTGAAAATTTCGACCATTTGTGGGGAAGGTACCAGAAGGAGTGGACCGATATTGCCCATCTTCGAACTCGATCTAAGTATGACAATAATATTACGATGAACCAAGTTGGACCACATCGGATACTCCCTTCGAGAGTTATCGTGCGCACTTGCCAGCCAAACAGACAGACGGATGGACAAAGCTTGATTGACTCCAAATGCCTTGAAACGAATTTGGTCCAAAGAAACCTAGGGTCTGAAACCGTTATTTCGGCGAGGCACGTTTTGGCCATATAGCCGAGGATATAAAAATGGAAGATTGTAAGTAGGTTGATCCTTGAAGACTAATCCCTAAAGAAGTCGCGGCTATTGGTCAGTTGGTCCTTGAACAACTATACTTAAAATATTCACGACCATTGGTCGTTTGGTCCATAAAAAATATCCTTAAAATCAATGTTTGAGGCTCTTGTCGTCCTTAAAAAAATATTGTTAAAAATCCACTATCGTTGCTCTTTTATTTCTTTGGAAAATATTTATAAAAAAAACTATGTTTGAGACTATTTGGTCATTAAATTTTTGTTTCGCGAAAATTCAACAATTGAGGCTATGCTTGTTCTGTAAAAAATATTCTTATTGTTGGCTATTGACTAAAAAAATCTTAAAAATCCACGTTCGGTGACTCTTTTATTGCTTTATTTTTTTTAAATATCTACGTTCGACACTCCTTCAGTTCTTCAAAAAATAGCCTTAACCCACCTTATTGGTGGGTTGATCCTTGAATAACTATCATTCAAGAATACACGATCATTTGTCTGTCGGTCATTGAAAAAATATTCTTAAAAAATCAATGTTCCTGGTTCCTTCGATCCTTTAAAATTATTTTTTTAAGAAATCTACGTCCGTTGCTCTCGTTTGTGGCTTCTTCGATTCTTATAAAAAAAAACTTTTTTAGGCTCCTTTGTTGCTCCAAAAAATATTCTTAGAAAATTCAGGATATTTATTCAGTCGCTCTTTAAAATTATTCCTAAAAAATCCCTGACAAAAATTCTTTTCACAAACCTACCCATATAGTGCACTTCGTAGTCATCACCACACCTAACCGCCATTCACAAAATCCCAAATTTGTTGCAAATGCAAATTTTTCCGAAATTTTTGCATTTTATAAATT